ACTTAATTCATACTTAAGTCACTTTTAAGTCTTTTACTGTACTTTAGTGCTTGACTTTTTTTAAGAAGTTGGAATGTTCAGTATAAATGTGTTCAACGGTTGCTTTTTTAATTAGTTAGTTCTACTAAAAAATTATTGTACGACATCTACAAGAGATATAATATATAAAATGTTTATTTCCGCACTATCCAATCTAAATTAGAATTTATTATTCCTAACACAAATACTTAAAATTACTTGACTATCACCATTGAACGCCATAAATTTGATATTTTATTTAATTTGGTTAGACTTTTACTGAAATTGTGTCGTGATAATTTCATACCATGCATGTAGGTTTCTCAAGTTCCAGAAGTACGTTGAAATATTTAAGGACTGTATTACTTGTTACACTACATTTTTTCGACAGCTACTCAATTCTTACTGCGATATATACTTGCTGGCTGCCACATTCGAAAGTCATAAAAATTGATAAAGTGCAACGCGGCTCGAATATATGAAACTGGCAATAAAAAACACAACACAACACAACACAGCACAGTACAGCACAGTACAGCAGTACAGCACAGCAAAACTAAGGACCACAAAGCTTTCTGCACTTGGTCATATGTGTACTTTGTGCTTTCCAATGCTGCAACATTGAATGCAATTTAATGCAAGTCAATGCCACTTGTTGTTATTGGAAATTCTTCGAAGACGTACCACCAAACGAAATCAAACCAAGACACACCAAACCAAACCAAGCTAAACCAAACTGAACCGAACCAATTGCATTCATCTTAGAGATTTCTCTTTTTTAATGCCTTTTGGACCCTTCTTTTTGTACACTTTATTATCGCTTTTTTGTTTTTTTTTTTTTGTTACCTTATGTTTGTGTATCTGTCTATATATGTAGCTCTACTGCCGTATCTGCAGATACGCGAAGTATTGTAGTAGTTTTGTTGGCAGCAAAAGATTGCAAAAGATGAAGCATAAAAATTTCAAACATCTGATGTGTCCATTCCATTTAAAACGTGTTTAAAACAACGATGATTATGATACTCATCAAGAACAGCATCCCTGCCACCACAACTGGTGCCATTTAATTTTACAATTCGTTCGTATGTGTTAAGAGATTGAGGAGTTTCCTATATGCTATATGCGTTCAGATAGTCAGATGTTGAGATGTGTGAGTATATTTGGGTCCGCAAAAATCAATGCAAATTCCTTTGCGCTTTGCAGATAAACGGCAGCAAAGATATTGTATATTGAAAAAGTAAAATACATTAAAAAAGTATCTTTAAAGAAATATTATTAAAGCAATTCTTTAAGGATTTTATTTTATGTTTGGTTATTAATATTTATGATCCGTTTTGCGATCGTAAATCAAATGCGTCTGTATTTCTGCTAATAATTTATTTTGTCCATTTGCTCCAGAGATGTTTGTTAGCAGTTAGCAATAAGCAATAAGCAATAAGCAAATCAAAAAACAAAGCAAAACTTTATTAACAGCAGTTAATTTGATTTTGTAAATATTAAGGAATTTTTTAATTGCTTTCAAATTTAGTTTCATGCCAGCACATGTACGTATATCTATACTCGTACTGACAGGGATTCGCAAACGTACGGATTCGCATATACGCTTACTCAGGAGGCTATAAAAATTAGTATTAGGTGTGTGAAATTTAAACAAACTTCAGACGATTTCAAATTATATAAATTAGCCAGGTGGTCAAGCGGTCAAGCAGCCAAGCGGCCAAGCGATCATACGGATTGTGAGTATTAAAAAAGATTCAGGAGTTTCAAATGAAATTTTTATGCCAATTTATGGCTTTTAGTTATGGTATTATAATTAAAGAGATATTGAAAATTATACGTAAGATTTTTTTATGTAAAAAAATGTAGCAAGTTCTATTAGTTAGAACTTAGTCTGCTCTATCGATAACAAATATTTGACAATGGTTAACTGAATTATTGTATAATGCTTAACGTCTACGTCTTAACGTCTACTTTGCCTAACAGTGAAGTGAAGTTCAAAGAGATAATCGACAACTTAAAGATATTAGAATGAAGTATAAACACTAGATATCGCCGGTATTTCATAATATGAGATATACGTACAATAGATACCGCTATTGTGCTATTTTAATACAAAAAAATACAACTTTTTATAGGGTATGTACTACGGTATAAATTATGAAACAATTACTATTATTCGAAACCTAAAGCATTATTCAGTAAAGTAGATAGCAATCGGTGAAAGTCATTCATAATAACTAAAATACTAACTACTAAGGTCATTCATAATAACTAAAATACTAACTACTAAGGTTTTGGCATTAAAATAAAGAGTTTATAGGTTTATTTATATAGATTATATTACTGTTATTCCAGACCTAAATCGTCATTCAGTAAATTAGACACCAATCGGCGAAAGCCATTCATAATAACTAAAATTATAACTACTAAGGTTTTGGCATTAAAATAAAGAGATTATAGAATCGTAATGGCTATACGCATATGTAGATATTATTACAATAGTTGCACGGAGCATAAAAGAGCTTGCCAGCATATTTATAAGAATGCATCAAACGACTACGGATGTTGGTTTAAAAAAAAATGGAAAGTAAGACGAAAAATGAAAAGCATAATATGCAATGCTTATCACTTGGTGATAGATAAGTTTAAGTTGCTTAATCATCCACCGATATATTTTGTTCTGACTTCCAACGACTATCACATGCGTGCAGACCTAAAGAGAACACTTAAGAAAAAAATATGGCTAAAATTAATAATTGTCTTTCGAAACTAAGGACAAAGTGTATATCGTCCTACAGGAAAGGCTTCTAAATGTTGATGTAACATATTCCATCAGTCTTGAAAGAGACTAACATATGTTGCTGAATTAAATTAAAAATTTATTAATTTTAACATAGATGATTGATAGTCATTCTATGATCTTTTTGAATGTTCAGTAGTGCATTTTGGAAAAACAAATTTTAATTTAATAACAAAATAAAAAACAAAAGTGCCAGCTAACTTCACTAAAAAACCTAAAGATTAATAATTTTTTTTTTCTTAACTAATTTGTTTAAGAAACCATTGCATAAATATTTTAAATATTTTTTTTTTTTAAGATATGCTTAATATGCAATAGAATAAAATACAGTAAACCCTCAATATACAATACAGTAAATAATGTGTTAAATTTAACTAAAGTAAAAAAGGAGTAAAATTTTAATTGCGTTAATGATGTGTCTTTATAATAACCAACAAATAAAACAAAGTTTAATCAAGCTCTCCAATGTTTAATTGAGAGCTTGTCAAAAAGTGAAAATTGGTCGATCATTTTACTGACTGATATAGTAGTAAAATTTGTCTGTGTAAATGGTACAAGGATGTATGCTGGGCCTTGGATCTTGTTGTATGAGGGCTCACCATTTTATATACATTTCATTTAAACCATTTAGCAGATTGAAAAGTATATTATTTCGTCACTTATATTATTTTGTGCGTGTTTGAAAACAATTTTAAATCTACCAATAATTTTTTTCAGATATTTTTTGAGATTATTGCTTTATAAGATTATAAGCAATTTTTTCCATATAGTTTTTAAAAGTTTGTTGTTGTTAATGCTTAAGAATTTGTGGTAATGCTCATGAGCAAAACTGAAGTTGGTCATATATTCTTTTTTTCACAATTTGAATGAACGACACGTTTTATTGAACACTGAACTGATTCGATTTTTGGACTCAAGATTTTTTTAAGATAAATTCCTTTTAATTTTTTTGTAGAGAACCTCAACGATTTAACATGCAAATTCTTAATTGACGCATATTTAAATGTTGCTGCAAGGCAGAATATCCAGTTACCAGTTGCCACTTAAATATATCCAAAGAGTGTTGTTAATTTTGTGGAGATTCTAGATTTTTTGCATTTTTTTGATGGCACTGCATTGAAATTCATGCTTTTATATAGAAAAAATGGGAGTTGAGATAAAATCAGGAGTTTTGGTTTTTACCAATTGACTGAAAGTGAGCAAAACTAAATTCGAATGCCACAGGCCAATTTTTTTTTTTGGCACCAAGCAGCTTATTAAAACCAAAAACAAAAACCACAAAATTTATAAAAATTAAGTTAAAACTTAATTCTTTTAACATTGAAATTCAGTATATAAATATAAATGCAAAATTTTTGAAAAAATTCATGAAGTGAAAAACAAACTATATTTTTTATTAGGTAATTAAATTTTCTCCCAACCTGTCACTAATTAAAAAGTGTAAAACTAATCTTATTTCCATCTGATCTGTTGTGATGAGTAAGTGTCTATGGATCATCTGATCACCAAGTGCGATACACTAGGCCACAGAAGAAATTTTTGGTGCATACCAATCAGAGAATAAATCAGAGACCTTCGAACACTCCCTCTGAAGGAGCTGGTTCGATTCCTCAAGATACTGAATGCCTAAATACAAAGGGGTGTAGAATAGATCAAGCTGGTTGCAGTGCATAGGGGTCTTAGCATAATCCAAAAACCCCCCAATACTATTGACCAATCTGTAAAATTAATTGTATCTTCATTATATATTACTTTTAGATATGACAGAGGACAAAGGTATATTTCGACCTTTGAGATATATTGTAAATACCTGGTGATAAAGACCATTAATAATCTTTACAATATTTTTTGATTAAATACTCCAGTTATCCATTTGCTTATGGAACACTAAGTAAAGGTATCGCATCAAATCTATCTTTAAAAATAAATTTTTTACTCTGACTTTAGATGTATTTCAATTTAAATTGCAGAATAGGTTGTTTTAAAATTGTTCTACGTCATTAACTTCAATATTGCAATATATATAGAATCATATTGCAATATATACGTACTAAATAATAAATATATTTGCATGTAAGCATATATTTATATTTATATAAATATAAAATTAAATTTATAACTTAACTTTGATTTTAGGATCAATAAATAAAAAATTTTTATTAGTGTATGATTCTAAATTTTTTTTTCTGAAATACAAACATATAATATATTACATAAATTCTAGTTCTTTTACATCTAGAATTTTTAGTTAGATTGTGTAACAGAAGCTAATCGAATTCATCAATTAAATTGCGTGAGTATAAAATTTTTTAATATAATTATGTTAGCTTTATAAATATTTTATTAGCTTTTATCAGATTTGGTTAAAGTTTTGATTATAATGGTAAATTATAATGGTCAAAAATAGGGGTGTTGACGATTATAATAAATAGAAATAATTTAAAATAATAACTTTGTTAAAAGATCAATTAAACAGTTTTTCTTCTTCATATACAATTTTGATATTCATACATATTAGGGGTACTCACGATCTCGAGTAACAAGCTTAGTAATCGGGCAACATGGTAATACTATAAAACACCAACAATAAAATAGAATTTGATTAAATGTCTTTTGTGGTTGCTGCTATTTACTATGAAACTATGTTACCGATTACCGACTTCGCTATGCGTTATCATAAAAACCCTTTCCCAAATTTAATTATATATATTATATTAAATTTAGAATTTTACAAGAGTACATACGTAGAAAATATAAGTTGTATAATTGAATAAAAATAGTATACCAGAATAGAATAGGTCTTAGAAATTATTTTGTACAACTGATAATATCTACACAGGAGAATTCCGAATGGAAGTCACAAAATCTGTCCTTAAAATTTTCCGAACATCAGACGAAGTTTAAAGCTTTAATACTGAATCGGGCAGTATTTTTCTCTAGGCCCAGATCACAATAGGAATAATTATATATATCAATTTCCATAGGCAGTTGATAAACTACTATAAATTCAACAATGCTTTTAAAGAAATCTTTACATAAAATATTCACTAAAAAAAGATACTATGTAGTATCTCTTGCATTTTAATGTGAACTTCTTATCTTAATGATCTTAAAATTAACAAATGAATTGTTAAAAATGTCAGTTTTCCATGATGATAAAGTTGATGATAAAGTAGCAATGAACTAAGTATAGTGGATCTCTAAAAGCAGATAACCTTTTAGACCAATTTTGTGGACATTAAATCAACTAAAAAAATCAATCGTATTCTTATGATAAACGAAGTAAGTCTAAAACTCAATCACAATTTTAATAAGATATGCTTTGAATTTAGATTCAATATTTTTGTAAGAAAACTGTTTTTAATAATAAAATTTTTGATCAACAAAATATTCCGCATAGGTATCTAAAAGTTTTTACTGTGTTTCTTAAACTAAAATAGAAAAAAATATTGAAAAATTAATTAAATTTAAAAATTGATAAATTTAGATGTCCTTGGACTTTTGAAATTTGGGGTTCTTCTACTTGTTTTGTTCTTGGTATTCTTCTTACCAATCACACTGTCTTTGTATTACTTTGCGCCCAAAATGAGCGGGGAGGAACCAAAATCTGAAGAGAACGATACTATTGTTGGTGGTAAGTTTAAATTACTGAATAAAATTGGTGAAGGCTCATTTGGCGATATATATTTTGGTAAGAGCGTCTCAGGAAATAAGCATGTTGCTATTAAAATCGAAAAAAAGACCAAATATGCTACACAATTACTAAATGAAAAGTCTATATATAATTATTTGGCTGGTGGCTTTGGTATTGCAAATGTACATTATTTCGGTTGCTATAATAAGTGTTATGTTCTTGTGATAGACCGATTGGGTCCAAATCTGGAGGAATTATTTGTAGCTTGCCACTGTCGCTTTTCGATGAAGACGGTAATACAAATATTTGAACAATTATTAGAGCGTCTAGAATATATGCATTCAAAGGGTATCATACATCGCGATGTTAAACCACACAACTTTTTAATTGGTCATACTGACGGTACTAGATCAACAATTTTTATTAGCGATTTTGGTTTATCCAAGTTTTATTGTGATCCCAAATCGAAGAAACATATTAAGTTCAGAGAAGACAAGAAACTAGTTGGTACTGTACGATATGCGTCCATTAATTCACATTTAGGCTATGAACAATCTAGGCGCGATGATCTCGAGGCAGTTGGGTACACTGCAATATATTTTGCTAAGGGCATACTGCCTTGGCAAGGTTTGAAGGCAAATTCCAAAAAGCAAAAGTACGAAAAAATTGCTGAAAAGAAATTATCGATTAGTGTTGAGCAATTATGCAAAGAATTACCTGACGAGTTTGTTATATACTTGAATTATATCCGCAATTTGCTTTATGACGAGGATCCTGACTATGATTATCTACTTAGCTTATTTAAAAATTTGCATAAAATTTTGAACTACAAGCGTGATAATCACTACGACTGGTTGGATGATAAGGGTAAATTGCGTCTAAAGAGTGAAAAGGAGAAAAAAGAAAAGGCCAAAAAAGAAAAGCAAGCTGCTAAGGTCAAAAAAACTAAAAAGGTACAAGATATAAAACAAACAGTTACTCAAAATTAAGTTCGATACACCAATACAACAGTTTCAATATATTGTTCTAATATTTTCTATATTATATTATCAAATGATTTTTTATTAGTTTTATAAATTTTTCAAAATTAAAGTTCAAAATTTTGTAAAGATGTTCTCAAGCATGCACTTCTATTTAGTAAAAATAAACTAATTTCTAAAAAAAAAAATTTAATATATATCATTATTATTTTGACTTTTATCTTAAATTACTTATTAGAAATTTTTATGTCTAATAACAAGAGTTTTAAGAAGACTGTTTAAGATTCCATGGTATATTAGATCAACAGACATATATAGAGATCTTAGGATTGACTTAGTGAAAAAATATATCAGAAACAGAGCTTTAAAATTATTCACTAAAGTTGATACGCTACGTAACCATACCCTAACAATCGTCAAGTCCACTTCTGGAAGATATGCTGATTTAAGGTCCGTCATCAACTAAAAGACAAATAAATTATATGATTTCTTAGCCTAGTTAAAGCCTAGTGTGGGGTAGAGATAAACCCACAGCCATTATAGAGTAAAAGTGCGTAATAGCTCTAACTCAAGAAGAAGAATCAAGAAGTCAAAAAGAGTTTTATATCGACTAAAAAATATAATAGGGAAAAAATTTTTAAATCCAATATTTATTTAAGTAAACTCATGTACTGATCAAACGACTCTTTTTGAGAGTCCCAAAAATGGTCATTAGTGGTATTTGAAAACATCTAGTGGTTTAAGTGTAACTATAAATTAATATTGGCAGATTTTTTAATCTAATAAGATCTGATTTTAAATTATACATTAGTAGTCAACTAGATATGTATGCTCCTGTTACTTACTACCTTTCGAATTTGGGACTAAAGAACACCAACACCTATAGATTGTATGAATTGCGGAGAGAAACTTCAGTCCAATTGATATTTGAGTGCCCAGCCATGGCCAACAAAATTGTCCAATTTCATATTCTGGTTTTCATTGCATTCTATGATATCTGTGATATTTCTTTAAGATTAGATTAGTTTAGAAAAATCTTTCTAGAAGATAGCACAATAAATCTCGTAGGTCCCAGTGTACTATTGTCAGCACTAATATAATTAAAAACAGTTTCAACGAATTTTGTTTAAAAACATGAACTAATAGTATCTTCCTTCTTAATTATATCTTTAAAACAATTAATATATATACGTTGTACTGCAGTACTTTGCTTATATGAATATCGGGACAACAAATTTTCTAAAATGATGTCCTCTTGTTAACTACCAGTTTACTATGATGTAATTAAAACAAACTAACTATAACGAAATACACTTTATTTAAGTTATACGTTTATTAAGAAATGAAATCAATATCTTTCAACTAGTTATCTTCGACTGAAGTTTAGAAACCTGAGTTAAATATATTTATGAGGCCGCTAATACCCTTGAACCCAATTTATACCATCAGATTTATAAGATGAACTTATAATATGATCTAGCAACTTTCTAGATGAGATTTTTTGCTTTAAATTACTTCCTGCAGTTTCTTTAAAGGCGTACGAATCTAAAGGTGCTTTTAAATGCATAAAATAATGTCCTACCAGTATTTTGTATGTAATGTCTACTGTAATAGTGAGCTATTAAAAAATTCCACTAACAGTTTAAAAATAATTATAAAATATCTTTAGCTTAAGTTATGTTATAATTAACAACTTTAAGAAGTAAAGTCATTTATTTTTTCAAATTCACTGATGCTATTTGCTCTCTATATATTCGTGCATATACGAGTATCTAAAATCCAATAAGCACATTTATTTTAACAAATTTACTCAATTAATAACTTCCATTTTATCAGCAAGTGGTAAATTCTAGTAATCTCTTATAAAATCGAAAATGCCCTGAAACCTTAAATCATGTCTAATATTAACTTGCAGTACGTACGAAGTCAATATAAACGACCTTAAAATGTCATTCCCAGGTTGGAAAATATCTTCTGCTTGTCTTTAAACTGAAAAATAATTTATAGCATTTTAAATGTTTTACTTTTTGCAATTAATCACCCTGTAGTGCAAACTACGTATGCGTACCACCTTTGCATACCACCGAAAGATATTTTATGCATACAATTACAAGCCTAAGCTAAGCCCTTCAATTCGTGCTGAGCATATAAGTTGCCACATATCTTTTTGTGGACCTAACAGTGCCAGTGCCATAAAAACGAGTTCTTCTACGCACGTTTACAAGTTCAACAGAATGCCTTGGACATGCGCAAAAACGTTTCTCGCCAATATAACGACAGATACGGGTGCATACATGGACGGACAGTAGAATTTCTTACAAACAAACATGCAGGAATGTTGAGATACAATGCAAAACAAAAAATATTGAATTTTTATCGCTTCTAAATACACCAGAAAAGTTAGCCGATTGCAAAGCTCTTTAAGGTTCGACTGATTTATTCAATTCTTAAAAATTTATTTGATGTTGAAAAAATTTAAATATAGATTTATGTGTCTATTTGAACTGATTTGACAATAACAAAAATGGTTAATGCAATTACAGATAGCAGAAAACCTGGCTTTAAGAAGACTGTTTAAGATTCCATGGTATATTAGATCAACAGACATACATAGAGATCTTAGGATTGACTCAGTGATAAAATATATCAGAAATAAAGCTCTAAAATTATTCACTAAAGTTGATACGCTACGTAACCACGTCCTAACAATCCTCAAATCCACTTCTGGACTCTCAGGAAGATATGCTGATTTATAATAAGGTCCATCATCGACTAAAAGACAAATAAATGATATGATTTCTTAGCCTAGTTAAAGCCTAGCGTGGTGTAGAGATTAGCCCCCCAGCCATGCCATTATAGAGTAATGGCTAACTCAAGAAGAAGAATCAAGAATCAAAATATTCTCAATATAATATTTTAGTTATAAACACTCTTTTAATCTCATCACAATATTATAATTCATTGCAGAACTCTACAACCATTCTGGTAAAGACCATGTTATATATAGTGCGATAGGCTCGTCAAAATTGTCTCTTCTCAGCTGTGACGAAAATGCATATTGTCCAGAGTGTCACAATTCTAATTATTTGCTTCTAAAAGACACTACAACACTATTTTGCCTAAGTGACGAGGCACAGATAGTCTCGGCTCTCATGACCAAATTAAAACCGATATATTGCTTTTTCTCTCACTTTCAATTTTATAATTTGCATTGAAAACAACAACAATTTTGCTCATGACGAGCCCATGACACTCTACATAATATGGGCCTAAGAAAAATTACCGGAATTGTTAAAGAGAGAAAAACACTAAAAAGTTTTAGTTGATTTATGGAAATTTAGAAATACAATTTTTGGCTAGAACGGAACATGCTCTGTGAATAGAGAGTTTAGGAATGATAAATTCTTGTAAAAAGAAGATACAAAAGTTGAACAGAATAAAAGAAAATATAGTAACAATGATAATAAAACATTAAGTAGGTACAGTTTTCACTTATGACAGGACAGAGTGATCTGAAAGATAAACTTGGATACGTAAACGGTTTTCAACGTATTTTTGTTTAAATTTTCAAAAACCCTATTTTCACAAAAGATACTGTAAGGTAGTTTAAGGATTCAAAAATATATCATTTTTGATGTATTATTATTTGATATAATTACTCAAATATAATGTAATGTAAAATGAGTGTAAATAAAAGCCACTCAATTTTATTTCAAATTTTGTTAATGTATTCTTCAATATTTATTTTATTCTATTTAATATAATCAGCATCAGATCAGCATATAATCAGCGTTATACATTTCTCAACGTTTTTTCCAGCCTTTAACATGTTTTTTTATCGGCCAACGAAGGTATGACCTTTAGCATTCTCTGCTAATTCTCATTTATGGACTATATATCTTTTAGATATATTGCAGAAATTGAATTGAATTCAATTTATACTTAGGGGTGACTAGACAGATTTTTGGATATTAAAACAATGTTTATATATGGTGACTTATTTTGTAATATTCTTGACATCATTTGATATCATTTTTTCACAAAAACATAACTCAAAGATAGGATGTCACGCTTTCAATTGTATAAATGAAATAATAGATATATTGCAGGAATTGTATTGAATTAAATCATTGCTTAGGAGTGATCTGATTTTTGGCTGTCTAAACTGTGTTCATATATGGTGGATGATTTATTTTTTAATAATCTTGATATCATTTGATAACATTTTTACCCATAAACATAACCGAAGGAAAGAATATAATGCATATAAAGAATATATAGAATATATAGAAAGAATATATAGAGAACGCGTAGATATATTGGAATTACTAAATTTTATTAAATATTTTATATATATTCCTAATATTGCCAATCGTAATTAGAAGGCAAAAAATAAACGATACATTGTAGTGGCAACTGGTACTAGTTGCATCATTAATTAAATTAAATGCTTCAATTAGTTGATTGCATGAAATTAATTGCAACTAACTGAGTCCATAGAAACAATACAATTCTAATAGATCTTAATGGCACGTTTTTAGAAATGATAAGCTTAAGAGTCAGAGATAAAAGTAAGAGAAAAAAGTTTAAATTAAAAACAAAATAATAATAAGTGGTTACATTGTTGAAACAGTGCTTCTTTTTTATATTGTTTTTACTATTACGAGTATCTTTCTTTTTTAATAAGTAATTCTATAAAGAAACACGACCATGTGGCGTCAGCACCTAAAACAAATCAACCGAAACTGTAAAGCGCAGCTCAAGATCATTGCCATTTTTAGAATGTTCCCATTTTTTGTACTTATTTTTGGTGAACTGTAAACTCGTTCTTATAACTTCACTTAGAGTTTTAACTTCAAACTGAAATTGAAGCAACCAACAACCATTGTGGCCCGCTTGCGCTCAATGCAAAAACTGCATGCAACAAGTGCCTCATATCTATCTCGGCGGTTGTATGTGTTCGACGAGTATCTTTTTTGGTATGCATGCACGCGTTCTGTTGCTGATATTCGAACGAAATGCAATAAAAATTGCCGATTTGCTGACTTGAGGACGACGACTTATTTG